AAAATAAATACTTCAATGTCTGTGACCATCCTAACAGTCACTAATCTCAACCAACTCTTCAAATGAGCATCATTACCTGTTGCCAATTTCATACCTTTTCCCATACCCTTGCATATTATTTCTATCTAAATAATCATCCAAACAGCCGCCTCAATGTTTCAGTTGAGCTTGCATTCGCTACACTTTCAGTCAGTACATTCCACTTTGCATTTGCTGCTTCGCGAACCAATGTAAAATTTCCCTTCTCTTGAAACACTTTTGCTAATGTCGCCTCAACTCTCTGGGTTGCCATCACAGGAAGCAGGTCCCAATAGCAAAGCTCTCTCATTCCCCATTTACTGGTGCCAGCGCCCTTTGCATCAGAACCCATTCCTTCCACACCAATCTCTGAACCACATATTGACCACTCTAATCTTATCCCGATAGCAACTTTCATATGGCTCAGGGAGCAATCCTGAGATTATTCCCTTCATGGTTCTGCTTTTTAATTTAGCCCCAAGTACTCAATCCCTCAGCACAATCTCTTTGTTCATCCTATCTTTGCCTTTAGCACCTACATTAATCTCAACAACTGGAACCTTCCCACTCCAATTACCCCTCTAGCCCAGAAGAGATGTCCTTAACCTTGGCACCATGCAGAACAGACTGCCTTCAGCCTCTGCAGAGACGACAATATCCATTCCCCCATTACTATTACACATCTCTTTTCACCTCTCACTTAAATGATGCTCCGTGCAAATGCCCTATGGTCAGTTCTCTCAACCTCCCTGCAGTCTGCATTTGTACACACCTTAAATAAGAACCTCATACCTAGTGGATAAAGGCACAGGCTGAGGCTCCTCCAAAGCTAAATTCTGAATCCTGATACATGCCTCAATTACCATGCATGAATTTTGAATAATTGATCTTTGGAGCCTGAGTGTCTGATGAAACACAGCATGTAGGTAACTCTTGCCCCTCCCTCAGTGTCCATATCTCAGATTGCAGCCCATCAACTGAGCCAATGTTTCTTGAGCAGCCAACACTTGCTCCAGATATGGTCACCGGGAATCACACCAGCATCCACCAGCTCCCACATACTCGGGGGAGACGGCAGTGGCATTAAAATCGCTGGAGACCCAGGTGCAGTGCCATGGCAGATAGTGAAATTTGAATTCAATAAAAATCTGGAATTCAGAGTTAAACGATGACCATGAATCCATTGTCGATAATTGCAAAAAACCCACTTGGTTCACTAATGTCCTTTAGGGAAAGGAACAGCCATACCTACTTGCTCTGGCCTACATGTGGCTCCTGACCCACAACAAACAGGCTGACTCTTAAATAACCTCTGGGCAATAAATACTGGCCTAGCCAGCCACACCCTCATCCCATGAATGAATGAATGAATGAATGAATGAATGAATGAATGAATGAATG